CGCCTTGACACGATACGCGATTGCTTTTTTGCAAACTTAGGTACCGAATGTTTGCTTAAAAATAGCGTTGCGAATTATTGATAAACGCGATTGCTCGTAGAGTTGCGAATTACCATTTTTCGCGTTTGCTTTTCAGGGTAGTGTTGCGAACAATCACGATTCGCGTTGCTTTTTTACTCTTTTATATATATAATAATGGATGTCAACCGCGTTTGTAATTTTCACGTTATAAATTAGCGTTGCGATCTTGATCAATCGTGCGATTTTTTATTTAGCGTTGCGATATTTTCAATGCCCAAATTCTACCCCAATTGTAGTACTAGTAGTAGTTAGTTTATTTTGTGGCCAGTACATGTCTATGCACATGTACCAATAGCCCCTGATTAAAGTTAGAGTTGCGAATAATATACAATGTTCGCGTTTGCTCGTAGAGTTGCGAACAAATATTTATCGCGTTGATATATCAGTGTTGCGAATAAATACGATTCGCGATTGTCTTTACGCAAACCTAGGAACCGGGCGTTTGCTTTAAAAATAGCGTTGCGAATTTTTAGTAAACGCGATTGCTCGTAGAGTTACGAATCACTATTTTTCGCGTTTGCTTTTCAGGGTAGTGTTGCGAATAATTACCATTCGCGGTTGCTTTTATTCTTACAAATCGCGTTTGGAATTTTTTCTATTATAAATTAGCGTTGCGATTGTTGATTTATCGCGTTGTTGCCCCGTAGTGTTGCGATATTTAAAACGTCTAACTTCATCCCCATATGTGCCACTCTATCGTAGTTTGAAGTAGCTTGATGTAGTTAGATTATTTTGTGCATGTATGTTTCTAGTTACAACCAAAGTCGCCAGCACCTGATCCAGCGTTTTTGGGCAACGCGATTTGCATTAGCGTTGCGAAACATAAATGTATTTCCATTAAAGATAGAGTCGCGAATATACAATAATCGCGTTTGCTCGTAGAGTTGCGAATTCCTATTTTTCGCGTTTCCTTTTCAGGGTAGCGTGGCGAATTCCATACGCGATTGCTTTTATCGTTATTTAAGAATAGCGTTGCGAATTACTATTTTTCGCGTTTACTTTTCAGGGTAGCGTTGCGAATAATCATCATTCGCGGTTGCTTTTATTGTTAGAAATCGCGTTTGGAATTTTTCTATTATAAATTAGCGTTGCGATCTTGACTTGTCGCGTTTTTTATTAATTAGAGTTGCGATTCAATGCCCAAAAGCTGGCCAAAACGCTGCTCACTGCACCAGGATCATCTAGAAGCAAGCTGAGATACTGCAAAGCCTCGAATGGCTCAACGTCGTTATTAAAATTAGTGTTGCGCATGATTGAATATAGGTGCACGCGATTTAATTAATAAAGGAACCCTGCGTGGTTCATTTTACGAATAACAAGCACCATTCGCGTATAGTTTTTTATTTTATAAATTAGCGTTGCGAAAGAAAGAGTGGTCCACTCACGGGTTGTTTGAATTTAACACGAGTGGACGTTTATTCCAATTATGAATTCATTCTCAAAAGAAATACTGCTTGAAAGCACTGCTGTGAATAGACCAATTGTTTTATTCTTCGTAACGTGTTAAAATCTGTAATATATGGGAATGTATTTTAATCACAGATTTCTGATGCATTTAAAAATTCTATATTATGATTAATTTTATTGTAAATTGAATTTATGATTGCTACATAGATATCTATATCACTAATTATTCATTCTTAGAGTTGGTAATTTTTACGGGATATAATAACGTTTGCGATCCAATTGTTATTTATAAATAGCGAATTTTTTTATAAATATTCTGTATTCTTTGCATAAATCAAAGTTTATTCGCGATCATTGTTTTAATCGATGGAAAATAGAATGCTTGCATCAAAAGGATATGCAAATTGCAATTCGATATTTCATATTGAGAATTAATTTCCGCGCAGAATCGACATTTTCGTTCGTTATTGCTTTTTCTGCATGAACGTAATTTAGTTTTGAATACAGTAAAATATAATTATTGCAATGTATACGTCTTGAAAATATTTTTCTTGAAAAATAAAATCAACGGTAACAAATGAATAAAATTTTCAATCTATTTCTTATTTATCTTAACACTGGGACGAATTTAACTTTTCATTCAATTTCACGTATTATTTATGTTTTTAAACTTTTAATATCAATTTTTACTCGTGGAAGCTTTAGTTAAAATATTAATTTCATAATATCACTTTTACAATGATCGCTTACCATGAGTCTATCGTGACGGTACATAATTATTTTTTTCTGTGTCCATTAATACACTTTCATTTCAGCTTTTAATCCTTTGAACAAGTTCTTGTTACAGAATATACATATAATCATCGAAGAATGGAATTGAAAATGGTACACGGATTCCATCTTGATCGCTCTTAGAGAAATATTTCATACAATTTTATTTATCGTCTGATTTATGTTTCAGGGAAACATCGTGGGATTAATCAAGACACGAGGAAGAAATATTTTCTCATATTTATTTGTTTTATACGAGTTATATATTTTATTGGATATGAGTTTTTGTTTCAGGACAACATCGTGGGAGTGACGAAGACACCAAGAAGAAAATATCTTGTCATATTTCTTTGTTTCATGTCGGTTATATTTATTGTATATGAGTGTATGTTTTAGAAAAACATCGTGGGATTGATGAAGACACCAAGAAGAAAATATTTCCTCACATTTCTTCATGTTTCTACAGATTGCGTTAGAATATAAGTACAAATGTATATAGATTATAAGATAAAAAAGCGTTCTGATGCCGTTTATTAAATATTACCGAAACGTGTGCGTAAATTTAAGTGGGAATGATTAATATTAAGATACATATTAGTATTCTAATATGCAAGGTCCGTACGTGCAGTTGCACATTTCTGGTTGGATCTTCAGGATCCTTTCTTCGTTTTGTACGAGTGTCTTGTTATTTAAGAAGGAACAATTAATGATAAAGTACATATTGGTACTTTAGTAATCAGGATTCGTACGTGCAGTTGCACATTCCAATTTCGTTTCTAGAAAACACATGATGGATTATTTCACATGTATCAACATTTTGTTAGGTTTTTGATCTCTTGATCGGTCAGAGTTCGTGCGTGCAGTTGCACATTTCAATTTCGTTTTTAGAAAACATGTGTATCATCTCACATGTATTGACATTCTGTTAGGTTCTTCGTCTCTTGATTGAGCAGTTCTTTTAAGAACTCTCCTTTTCTAGCTCGTTTCGAACTTTTCGGTAGCTTCTCCCTTGGATAGGTATTCGAATTCCTCGCCAAAGGAAGGGTGGTTGGGGCGAGGCTAGGGCGGGTCTCCATTTGCAGCAACCTCCTCGTGGTGAGACCCGGGTCATATTATTTACTATATAATTAATATAATTATTAATTACATAGGAAATAATATGAGCTAATGGCTGCGTTCTTCTTATAGTTCCACGTACCTTGTTCGTCCTGGTGTGCGGTCTAATAACACTGATTTCGAGTCGCAAATACGTTTTTGCCGAGTTAGTTTTTGAATAAATAATATATTACAATTTAAAATAAAAAATAGAGGATTTCCGGTGTATTTATCAACGAGATCCTTACGTATTTTAATAATTTTGAAATCTTTAAATAATCTCGATCGATTGGTTATTCCAATGAAATTAATCGATTAATGCCCAATGATGGACCCTACAGCTTTAATTCCGTACAAAAATAATAAAATTTATGTAATTTTATTTTCTGTCTCACTTCCTCTTGTGTTCATTTCTGAATCTGTTGATAACGTTGCGAATGACACGAAAATGGTAATGGGGTCCCGGGACCCCAGAAACTCGGGCCGAAAAATCACATTAGGTGAAATGTCTATTCATATACCTCGTCTGTGCTTTCACCCAATGTATTTTTTCGGCTCATTTTTCTGGAGATCTAGAGCCCCATCACAGACGAGGTATACCAAGTTTGTCGTGGAATAGTTCGTTATTTTCAACGATAGATGGCGCTTATTTACCGACCTCATTTAACTATTCCACGACAAACTTGGGCGTTTTGCCGTAGATGGCTGTGCAAATCATGTACCACCGATGGGTCACACTTTCTTTAACTTATAGACAGGGAGCATCACGGACAAACTAAATGGACAATAGAATACAGTCACTTTATGTAGACACTACTGTATTTATTATAATAATAATAAGCTTTAGACACTGTTTATTAATTAGACTGAAGTACATATAGTCTCAAGTTAATGTGTATTATGCTCGATGTGTTGTGAAACCGTGGATTTACTCAAAGAAACGTAGAGACTAAGAATATGTGTTGCAGTGTCGAGCACGGGTTAGCAGTTCCAACAAATTTAGAAATAAACATAAGAGGAAGTGAGACAGAAAATGAAATTACACAACATTCCTGGCCATACATTATATTTTCAGTAAAGAATTTTTTTCTCCAAAGTACGTAAGATTTCGGCGGTATGTGTATTCACCAAAAATGATTGCAATTGACCCCCGCAACTGAAAATAATTTTTCCAGAGCGATTTGAAACTTTTCAATTTCGCCGAAAAATTTAGGCACCTACTGTCGATTTTCCTTAAAAATCCGTTTTTGATTTTTAGTAATTTTATTTGACGCCGTATAAAAAAGTTTCATTGAAATATATTCACTATTGTAGGGATTGGAATTACACGTTTAGGGTCTAGAAGTCTTTAAGAAAGTACAAGTTATGATATATGTATAAATTTCAAAGATTTATCTAGTACAGTTTAAAGAATTAATACTTTTTCCTCCTAAATAATAAATTCAATTTATTACCAAAATGTTAATAATGCTGTAATGAACATTATATTTGAATTTTTATATTTAATAAACATGTATTTGTGAAATTATGTGTATATGTATATGTGTATATATATATATATATTATTATCATTTTACATTTATTTTATACAAGTATTGTAAATATATTTAGCATATATTTCTGCCTATAAGTATAAAATATTGAATCTATTTTAAGTTGCTTTTTAATTCATTCAATAAGATAGAACCTATTACCATTTTTTCACAATTTACACAGATTTCCAAACATTCGTCGCCTAAAAATTTTATCGTTATTAACACTAATGAGTTTGATGCTAAAGTGTGGGCGGCGAATCTGTAAACAAAATGAAATTAGTATGTTAGAATGAAATAATACATGTGCTGCTGATTTATCAAATCGAGTAATTTAATTAAAAAAATTCAAAAAGTGAAGTCAATCTTGGCTAAAAAAATATTTCAGCCTTGTTCCGTGTTTTATTTCGATAAAAGAAATGATAATTTATTTCGACGATAAATACATAACTCACTAACCTTATTTCTTCGTCGCTACTAGATATCACTGCAACATTTGTAGTTTCAATAATCGTCTGAGAAAGAGCTGTTTTATTTCCCGAGTATTGTACTTTTGCTACGTGTTCGTTCATACCCTTTAATTTTATTTTCTCAGCGGTAAACATAGATTCTGGCAACATCACGGCTCGTATTATTTCCCCGATAGGTGCTTTAACAGTAACCGGGCACGAATACGTTTCTTCGCCAATTACAAAATCGATATTGAAGTTTGCCGGTTGTGTGGAATCATTAAAATTTATACCCAATGTAGATAATAAATTGGAGTTTATCTCCAATAATGGTATTTGTGTGAAGTCATGGATAAGCATACCTTTTGGTAAATTCTAAAGAGATCGAATAATATAAATATTTAAAAGGGAAATATATTTAAAAATAAATGAAATTTGTTAACGCGTTCAAAATTTACCTTTACTCCCATTTGTATTTCTTTGATAGGCTCGTTACCTTCGTTAGAGAATGTTAATTCGATGGTAACGAAATGAGCGCTTACTAAATGTTGGGATCTCGTAAATCTGAACTCGATCTTCAAACCATGACCGGTAATACTATTTAACAATTCAGACTTATTTAATGGAATAAACGTAGATGATACTTCTCTAACATCGTTTGTAATATTTGAATTCATGGGAATAAGAAAACCTCCTGCGCTCAATGGCATAACAGGTGTCATTGGGACGACTGCAATTATAATGTAAATTTAATTTCATCGATAATATATATATTGTAAACGATTGTAAACGATTGATTCTACCATCTTACCATCGTCTAAATCCAAAAGAAGATCGATATTACTTTTTGGCTTTTCTTTTGCATCTTGGTTTGAAAGTTTATACTTTTTCTCTTCCTCGCTTTCCTCAGAATCTTCAGAAGTTTCTTCAGAATCTGATCCTTCGCTTTCAGACTCGCTATTAGAGTCGTCCGAGTCTTTTGCAGATTTCTTTTTCCCGTTATCATTTTCAGACTTACTAGAGCCTGATGTATATTCAGACGAATCGCTATTTTCGTCCGAAGAATCGTTCATCGAAGTATTCGAAGATTCATTGTCCAATTCTAAAATTTTACAATACGTTAATCTGGAAATTGTATTGTTGAAATTTCAGTACTCGCGTAAAATTTACCTTCTGCCGCGACACTTTCTTCGTCGCTGTAAAAAGGTTTCTCTTTCTCTTTACCTTTTTTGTCTTTCTTATCTTTCTTGTAATACTCTTCTCTTGTATCTCTTATATTGCCGGTTGCAATGTCTCTTACGGATGGATCAGGAGCTGCATCGGGAAAGGGTGGTAGAGGTCGATAACCGGCACATGGCATATCCAAATAGTGCGATAATGTGCCCAATTGAAATTCCGAGTTCTTGAACCTAGATGTTAAGGTTGGTGCAGGTTTTGGAGCTAGAAATATTCGTTTCGCAAGCTGTGGAAGTTTCTTTGTTTGATCGTCGTCGTCGAAAACAAAGCGTCTTAAGAAGCGTGCACGATCTCTGATATCATAATTTTGGTCGTATTTTGCAAGTTGAAAGACATACTGAGAAAATGATTTAGTTTGTGTAGGATTATTTAAGCATAGCTTTACAGCTAAATTTAAAATCTGTAGCTTTACGATGTCTTGCTCGTTTATAAAATTTTTTGCCATTTTTCTAAGAACATCCGGCGCAATCTTAGGTACTCTATCCGAATATTCGCCCAACAGCCACAAAATGGATGCCCTCGCTTGCGGTATAGTTATAAAATCCATTAACTTGGCCATATGAGTAATTATATTTTTATGTTCGTTTGGTTGAGTCTGTAAGAGTTTTTTTATAACAACAACGCTTTCCGCTACGACCGCCTCTGAATACAAAATCACGCAAAATATTATAATTACATAATATGGATGATCGTGTAACTATATATTTGATTGATAAATACTCACCGTCTCTGTTGCTTAATAATGAAACTAATCCATTCAGACACGTGTCTGTCACCTCTTTTATATTACTTGCGCATCTACCGATTGCTTGTATACTTGCTCCCACAAATTCTTTATCGCTACTGGAAATGTATGTTTGAAATTCTCTCAGTATAACTCCGATACTGGTTTCAGTTGCTAAATTGGTCAGAATATCTAATTTTAAAAGCTTTATATGCGTAGGATCGGAAGTTCTTACAAAGAATGACTTAAGAAAAGGTTCAAACATCCCCTGTACAGAAATATTAAAAAATTATGATTTTTAAAAAATTCTCAGTTATAAAACTACATGGATATTAATATAATATTTTGCGTACATTTGTTCAATACGTACAATAAATCGTATTATCATTATATTAGTACTTACATTACCTTTCTGGTAATTGATATGCTAGCAATGCAATGAAGAACTATGCTCTGCACTTCCCTGTGTCCTCTTAATAACCTTATGAGTGCTTTGGCAGCAATAATTACTTCGCTTCGTGGTGCTGTGTGGTGATACAATTGAGACACTGCCATTACCACAGAAGCATTTCTACTTTGTAAAAGTGGTTTTGTATTTCGTAATAATAATCGATGATCAGGATCTAACGATAATTTGGTTTTTTTTGCATTAGACGAATCGGAATCGGAATCATAGAATGGGCGGTTTTCATCTTCTTCCATATTCTATAAAAATTATTTTCAGAAAATATATATCTTGATTGTGCTGTACGTAATTTTAGAAAATTATACATACATCTACGTTAGGATTAATAAATTGTGTACGTCCGTATCTTGTAAGCATGTTCACTATAACAACTTGGCCCCACTCGTCAACGTCTACTAACAAGTTACAGAGTTTTCTATAATTCTTGTGTATCAAGTCTATCCTTTCGGGACAAACTTCTTCGAAAGCCATTACTGCGGAACCGACGACTAGAGTAGTCTTATCGGATAACAACTTTTCTAAAACGCTTATTAACTCTTCTTTCTGCTCCGAATCCAAAGAATAAAGTTTAGGTATCGCGTGCGCTGCAGTTTTTCGCACGTACGGCGACATATCGCTAGCTGAATCCTTAATAGCAAGCATTACGATAGGCACTATCATAGAGACGCGTATGCTCGAGAGTACCCTCAAAGCACTGGCTCTTATTAGCTGGTTAGGATCTTTCAATGCTCGTTGGAATGTAGAAATAGATAAAAGTGCTAGATCTTGTTGATCTTCCGCATAACGAACTAAATAGACGTAAACTAATTTCTTCACTTCGATATTCTTCGATACAACATTTTTTACTACAGCTGGAAATAGTTCCGACGCGTCCCTTCCTTTTGCTATCATCTGAAAAATGTATCTCGTTTAATTTATTTCACTTACGATCCGATCTAAAAATCAAATTAATTAAATAACAGATGTATATAAGCTAATAACGTTTTTTGTAATATATTGGTATAAAATATACAAACTATACTATATCAATATACCAACATTTATAACAAAATTGTACAATAAAGTTATATAACGGATAGAAAAGATTAATTACCCCGATTATACGTTTCATAGCTTCTAGCTTAAGTCCATCTTTATTGCTGTCCAACATTTGTTTCAAATCTTCGTGTCTAAATTAAAGAAAGAATATTTTTTATATATGTAACTGCACATCATGCATAAACATATTTCATAGTGATTCATTTTTAGATTTGTTGTATTTCACATTTGCAACGTAACATTAGAAAATATTAGTTGTAACAAAATTAAAGTTGAGACAAAGAGAAAGCATTGTTTAAAAAGAATCGCTAAATTTCTAAATTTTAACTATGTATATTTTATATCATTGTATTAAAATATTTTTCATAAATGAAGTATAAGAAAAATAAAAAGTAATCTATTTACTTTTTGTAATCGGAATGAAAAAATCCACCAGACGCAGGATCGGTTGCAAGTTCTGCATCTGCTGTACTCGACGGTCTATCATTGCTATACGACCCTCCGTTATTCGATAACGAATTTGCAGCAGCGGTTAACATTTTCTTTCTTTCCGGGTAATACGAAATAATTGATTCCTTTCTGTTTTCGATGCAGATTTCGCTATAATTGACCAAATATCTGACAAATTTACCGTAAGACGTTACCACCAAGTGTTAACACATATCCATCTTGTTTAGATCTGTTTAGATCCGTACGACCGTACCAGCTACTCGCCGTAAGATTCTCGCTCTGTATATCGAAATATATCGAATCAATATTTAAAAGAATAAAGTTCGATATGCAATTCTAATGGTACTAGTTTTGTTTGAATGCCTTTATTTTATGCATTATACTTTGCTACGATTGCAATTTCAAGTTACAAGGCTACGGTGTCTGTTAAAATGTCAATCGAAACGTTGAAACTTTCACGAAGCGACTGCTCAAGTTATTAAGTTTACATGGTTCGTTTACATGGTTCAATTTTACGCGACTGCACAGCTGACTTCAGTACCAGCCATGCTGAGTAAGAGGCAGTAAAACAGCGAGAGTCTGATTTTGCACTTGATAGAAAAAGTACGCAGCATTTATGTGTCTCTGTCTATTCGGTGCAAAATCAGACTCTCGCAGCTTTACCGTCTCGCTCAGCATGGTTCATAGTAGAGTAAAGTTAGCTCTGTCAAGTTATAATATCGATGTGTACACTAAGGAACATTAATTTCTGCCTTTTATGGGAAAATCATCTACCGGGGTATTAATTAAATCGCTTATAAAGAGTAGATATATAAAAAGATAACATTTGGGCCAAAATCTTTCAAGTCATTGCTCGATTTTATCTCTTTAAATTGTCCAGCGAGCGGGCTATTTGAATAAACTTTATCCGATACCTTTATCTTTGTCTCTATTTAACTTTTAATTTACAGAGAAATAAAATGATATATTAAGTTCAACTAAAAAAAGGTTTTGTAGACATCCCGATCATTATATTTGCCAGTTATAAATCCTAATTTATTTCATTCTTTGTTATTATCTTTATTGTACCATCGATTACAAAATTGAAAGAAATAAAATGCAGATGAAAATTAATATAGATTATTTCCGTATTCTTAATAGTCTGTTTTAAATGCTACGAATAATAAAGCAAATATAGATAATTTTCATAGAAATGTATTTTGTAAATTATGTGTAATAATTTAAAGTTATCGAAGATTTTATTTCGTAGAACACTATAATACAAGTTCAACTAGTTTATTCGTATATTATACGTAGTTCTTTAACAGCGTAACAATTTTTTTAAATAGAACTTGCTAAACACTTTTTTTTGCGTCATCTTTGGGTAGAATCTTGCTGCAATCTTTGGGTTTTTGTTGCGATCTTATCGAGGAATTCAAATCTTCTTGACAATTGGAATATGCCATACCTAATCCAAAACCAGCCCCAGATAAAATGGGCCATTTTCTCCCTAAAAAGTTTATTAAAATTACATTAATATGTAATATATGTTAATAATTAATTTTACTACGCTTGTTCTAAGAAACTATTATTTTTTATATTAGGATATCTATAATATTAATATGAATTATAAATATAACAAATAATAACAGATAGCAATGAAAATTATTTTATATTTACGATTAAAAACAAAATAAAATGTGTTCTTAGCACTTAACCTATATCACGTGCATACCAAAGCAATTTTTAACAATAAAATGTAAAGTTAAACATCAAACACGTAGATCCAGGTTATAAACATGCTCGATAACACTGAAAATATAACTTTAGACACATTTTTTTAATCAAAAATTATTGAATATTAACCTTTAAAAATATTACTGCCATTATACAGTACAGATGTAAAGATATATCGATTAAATGTATTGTCGTATAAATTGCATGTTTGATTAATAGTATAAAAATTACATACAATTTCTAGTAGTACTGAAGAAAGTAAGTCTTACGTTTGAAAAAAAACAGGGAGAATACACCACCAAGAAAAACTCCTCCTCCTGAGAAAATACAGTCGTATTACCAACAAAAAATACAATTAATACGTTTTCAAACTTAGATAATGATTAAAAATATTAGATGATATTTACCGAATTTAAATAGAGCATCTGTGAAACATCGATCCCACTTTCGTCCAATTTCGTCTTCGGCCCATGTAGCACCAGCCATTTTTCTGTATTAAAGTAGATCTACGACACTGGTTGTTATGTCATACATAAGTTTCTGACCATCGTGCGGGAAATTGATTGAAACATAGATTATTTATGAAAGCAACATTAAAAGAGTTTGTTATATCATTTGACCAACGATATTTTTCGATAGTATGTATGTGTGCCTAATATAAATGTATGACAATAGAACCAATGCAATTAAGCGTTCCCATTTCGTTTAAATAAATGTACATAAAGGGAAAAAATATGTTTTCAATTTAATGGAATATTTAACACATAAATTTTATTTACTGAAGGTCTAATTTATCGGACAATTGTTTTGCTTTGTATGATAATTTCATTACAAACTACGCGGTCTATTTTTGCTGTTTTAACCATAGCCGACTCGGCTGGATAGTGTGATATAGCCATATAGCAATTGCTACATGTAAGTACTCCTCTATGTACGTTTAGAATTCACCATAATTAGTTCAGTGCGCATGATAACTGCGCAGTTTTCTTCCCGCGTAAAAATGGCCGTTGCTACATGTAAGTACTCCTCTATGTACGTTTAGAACTCACCATAATTAGTTCAGTGCGCATGATAACTGCGCAGTATTCTTCCCGCGTAAAAATAGCCAATAAAGAAATAGTTACGACAGTAATGAAATTTTTTGTAAGAAAAGTGATGCCAAGCTTTTCATTTTAGTTCGCGCCTTGGCAGAGTGACTTTGTACACTCTGAAGTATTTTTTTATTGTTGTTAAATACATAGTTTTAATGACTTATAAAGAATGAAAGCTGTACGGTACAGAATTGAGCATCGATCGATTAATCTCATTGGAGTAACCAATCGATTAAGATTATTAAAATACGCAAGGATGTACCTCATTGACAACTACACCGAAAATCCTTAATTATTTAATAAATAACTCGGTATGGCAGTCAGATTGATTGGATGATCAAAGTCCATAAGGTGACCGGTCTATTCGTACACTTCGTGTGCATTTGTGTGTGTGTGTGTGATACTCAATGTATTTTTTCGGCCCATTTTTATGGGGTCTCGAAACCCCATTACCATTTTCGTGTCATTCGCAACGTTACCAACAGATTCAGAAATGAATTTTAATCTGTTCCATAGTCAACTCACATGTATTTATGCAAACACTACAGCTGGCTGCCTATCAATACTAATTCAGTGAATAATTTCTCAACTGACCGCCATCCATGGGAAGAGGTCGGCTAAAATCAGCTCCGAATTTTCAGGTCGGTATGGCAGTCAGATTCGAACGTTATCAGTTCTCACTGGAATTCGAATTTAGCACTCCTAGTGTTTGGAATTAAGACTAAATATTAGAAGAATTTTATTATTTCGGAAGCAATCAAAATTAGATCTCAGGAGCAGCTCTAAACGTACCCGGGCATGTATCGATTTCGAAATTTATTTGTTTAGTCTTCTTTGAAATTTCTGTTATTTACTTTGAATAAAATAAATTGTCATTTACAGGAAGATAAATAGGTGTCGACAACAGACTGATAGGACAGTAAATTACAGCGTCTAATTATACAAAGTGTACCATAAATAACATATCATCAAATAGTGTTATTTTACGTCGTACAGTGACACGTAATATTGCAAATTATGTAAATTATTTTAGAAATTGTTTAATAATTAATACTTTATTTTGTTTAATAATTTTAACTTTAATTTTTGATACTAATTTGTTTTAAACGTTTTATTTTACTTTACTATTATATTGAATTGAACAATATTTTCATAAATATGCTTTTTCTCTGTTATAAAATAAATAATTTTTCAGGCTAAAAAAAAGAAAGTATAACAATTCCATTATGAAAATCGTTTGTTCCAAGGTTCGAATTTTGAATTTTTATATTTCATTAATGAAGAAAAACGAAAGGAAGTGTATAGCACTTACCACAACGGACGTAGACACTGGTGTAGACTACGAAATTCGTATACAACAAAATATCGACGACTGTGATCACAGTAATACTGAAAGGAATTGTTAAAAGTACTCGACGTTATAGATGACTTAAAAATTAAACACAACGTATGATAAAAGAATATGGTAAAAGGTATTCTGGAACATTTATCCATAAATAATTCTAAGGGAATTTTTTGGTACCGTGATTTAGTATATTTGACTCGTTTTTCTAGTCATCGAACGTTTAAATAAATTTTGTTCGAGATAACAAATATTTCTGTTAATAGTTCGTTATATTTGAATGGAATTTGCAAAATTTCGTTTCCACTCGAGGCAGAGCCGACGCTAATGCAATGTATCGTTCCCAGCGTTTCGATGCGATGCATTAGCACACAGTATGGGCGGCGTTAACATACGGTGCAGTTGCGCGAAACAAAACCTGTGTTCATTATTTTGTTTCTTTTTCGTTGCACGTGACAACGGGGGGACAAATGTTACCAATTCAAAGTACAAGCTCTATGAACAGGCTGATCGGGAAGGCGTGCGCTCGAACGCGGTTTTTCAACACGTTTCGAGTGGTTGCATAATTGCTATAATGTGCACAATATAGCGCAGTGAAAACATTCCGATTAGAGAAATATAAATACAAACGCACGTCCACGCGGGAACCCGAGGTGGAATTTATTAGAATTTTTAGTCACGCGGAAGACTGTAATATTGCGTAGATACACGTTAATGGTTTTTAGTTCTGTTGTAAACGTGATATTTTTAATATGCTAATTTGGATAACGAATATATTTATGGTTACATTTGCCTCGGTTGACACTGTTACAATTTATTGATTAAATCATCGTGTTAATATTTAGTACGATTTTTTGAGGGAAAAATATAAATATTATATACAATCGGAATTCACCGTTTTTCCAATAATTTTTTTCCCTTATTATTGTCATCTTGTCTTTTTGTCCTTTACTATTTCGACGATAGCAGTTAGCAAATTTTGTCGATTTAGTTGATAGAAATTATTCGGGGACAGCAGTATCTACGTTTTCTTCTACAGAATTTCTTAGAAATAAGTATCACGTGTAATCTTCGATATATTTACTCCCGTAGGTACGCAGAATGTAGCTGATTTTATAAAATGTACATTTTCGTCGGCTAATATAGCGAAACATGAAGGAACATAGGATGTCTTATCTTTTTGTCCCTAACTGTATGTATCGTATTATGTCAAATGGTTCGGTTTAACTAACATACGTGTTTCATTATAAATGCAAGCGTTCGGATAGTTTCGTGTATCGCTAGGTGTATATTGTTGTGTTCTTCTAGCGTATGCACGAGTTGCTGTTTGGAGAGTGCAAGTTCCCGCGCTTCTATAGGAATAAATAGGGTATCAGCTGATTGGGAATTCAATGAAAAGGGCGAAGCGTGTGACGCGTATATGGTGTATGTATAACGGTAAACAAGCCCGCGCTAACTTCCGCGCAACGTCCACTGTGAATTATGATCGCCGAGAGACGGCGCCACTTTCGGTATTACAGAGTGGACCGCAGTCGCGCACGTGTATCCGCCGAGTAAACGACGCCACGCGGTCAAAGCCGGTATTGTTTGTGTGCGTGCATTTCGTTTCTCTCTCTGCGTTATTTCACACGTGTATCGAGCGTGTTCGGGCACCGCGGTATGATCGCGTCGCTCAGTGCCGTTTCGACTGTTAACAAGAAATTATCTAACGAGCAGTAATTTTCGAGAGCCGGAAGACGGGACACGATGCCGGACAAAGTTGCACCGGCCGAGAAGCAGGTCTTGAAGAGCTTGAGAATCACCGACAATGACGACGAGACTGTGAAGCTGAAAAAAGAACTCGGACTGTGGGACGGTGTAGCGATCATCGTCGGCATCATCGTCGGTGCCGGGATCTTCGTTTCGCCGAAGGGTGTTTTAAAGAACAGTGGAAGCGTGGGTCAGGCTCTGATCGTCTGGATCTTTTCTGGACTGTTGTCGCTCATTGGCGCATTATGTTACGCGGAACTAGGTGAGTGTTAGAAACGAACCAGCTGTTTCAAGCGGCAAATGACACGAACGTTTAATTTATAATTAGCGTACGGTCTCGTTTGTGTTCTTTCATCAGGAAACGAATGGAAGTTCGTGAGAAAGTATCGAACAATTTCTTGTTTCATAGAGACAATTGAATCCGACGATTCTATCAATCGACTAATATGAATACTAATTAAGTGATATTTATTTTTGGAAGTATAAAACATATATCAAAGTCGTATACAATTACGTAAATAACGTTGCACTTGCTTAACCGTTTGAGTGCCACGTGTCTTTGCTGTTTTCCCGTCCAAAAGTGCCAAGCGGCGCGATAGCGCTTGTCTTATTCCCTCTCCAAGAATGCCAAGGAGCGCTATTGCGCTGTTTTCAGATTTATACAGTAGCTGTAATTGTTTCAATTCATTGTTGTTCTGCCATCTTTCTGAGCGTAAGTACAGATTTATCGGCGTCTGGGTTGCGTCATATAATATAAGAATATAATTTAAATATTTTATTGCATATATAAAAGGTATGTACAGTAAAATTTTCACTATTAAAATATTCACTATTACTATTTTCACTACGGTTTCGCAGCCTAGAGCGCTGGCACTGTTCGAGAGACAGAGGAGATGCGCAAAATCGCTCCGTGGCACTCAAACGGTTAAATTCAAACAAACAATCAAATAAAAGTTTATTACAAAGTTTACTACCACGCTTACCGCGCACTCTAATGAATATTATCGTGCTTATTGCGATACGTGTGTTTTTTTTCAGTAAGTTTAAATAAAAGATACGAGTATGCCATTTATCAATGTTTCGATATTTTATATTTGCAATGCCATGTGTCTGAAGACAGACCTTTCGACTCTTGCATCATCATCCTTCGTTAGGCGACTCAGGTACTCCGGTATTAAGAAATTGAAAGCTTTTGTTTTACTAACTCGAACAAAGTTTGTCCCGAACGAATGTATTTGTTACTTTTCCTTTGTGTAAGCTTTTTGTTTTGTACTCGTAACTGCTTTACTGCTGTAAACTCGTTCTGATTATATGTTATCGTTTCGATATCCGTAGCAGGTAGTGCAGAACACTTTTCTTCCGTGGACTGAAATATCTTTAGAGCTTATCGTTAGAATCTAATTCGAATACATTTTCTGCACAAATTCTTTCGTTCGAAGTAGAGAAAATAGCAAATTCTAATAGCATTACATTGTATACGAAGTTTGCATTTTCCTGTTTATAATCTGACATAAGATAACTTACGCACACATGTATATATATCATGCAAAACATGTTACTAATTGAAGATTATAAATTTGCATTTACTTTGTATTAATATTAGACTTCGTGGACGAGATAACGAGAGTTAGTATTGTTTACAGCAGGATACAGAAATCAGATAAAATATATATCAGTTAACGCGGTCATAAAAATATTTGGAAGTAGATTCGTATTTTATCACGAGTTAAATATTGATAATTATAATAAATATTAAATACATTATCGGTAGAAGATTTACTTTTAACAATCGTGTGGGCTTCTTAGTTTACTTACGACAGATACATTTTTCCGTCAATGTTAAAAGTTAACATCGACGCAAGTTCGAAAGTCGTATATCAATAATAGTTTATGGAGGTCGTGGTATGAAAATTCAGCCAGAATAATAAAGCGGGAAAACGGATTGGACGTCGAATGGCATTTATATGTCCGTAATGTTGAACTGCATCAAACAGTGCATTAATTTAGTCCGACAAAGTCATATTTTATATATTTATTATCTATTTATTTTTCAATTTATTTGATAATTAAGAATTCTTTAACAAGTACCTGATGTTTATTAAAATATTTTAATTTCTTTATGAAAGTACAATAGCATAATAATCTTTGGTCGGTGACTTACATATTAGTGAAATTTAAAATTAATCATGGAGCTTATAATTAGATTATATATATGTATACAATATATACAGGGGCGACTACAGGTTGTCGGTATCATAACTATATTTGATTAAGGCTATATTAGGGGGCTGATGGACGCCTCAATAGTCCGTTTTTTTTTTGAATATTTAAACCTTGAATCATCGAAAGAACTTCTGTTAACCACCAACATTAATCGTTTTTTTAGTCTATGAATATTTAAAAGGTCTGTTTAATAGCTCTTCAGAGTTTTCTTGCATTAGATGTAAATATACTACGATGTTTAATTACTGTCGATTAAAAATCATTTTCCACATCTTTTCCTTGCGAGTTCTGGCACTTTGCAGATTTAGGGTCGACTATAATTGCATTGTTTTTATCGAATAAATAGATCTCAGCTTACAGGACCGAACCCGTAGACATAGGCACAAAAATACACTTATATAACTGCAATAGAAACTTGCAGGGTCAAGCATAATAGGTTTCTATTTATGGAATTTTTGTTAGGGCGCGATCTGCTGGGTTTTTTCGCCATTTGTCACTCCTCTGTCGGTAAAACGTATATTTTTGTTTCCTCGGTTTATTGATTTTACGATAGTCGCTCGTCCTTTCGATGCGAGAAGAAGGAACCGAGCGCGTATACATGCACGCGTTCTTCGATCTCGCCGTCGATTATCTGGCTACGTTTCTTATTGGTCGTCCGCTCGTGCTGCCTAATTACGACCAACACGCGGTCGCGTATGAAATCTCGGCTCTACGATGCATTCTTTCTCCGTTTATGGCTCGGTTCGTGGGGGGGTTCTCGCGATTTTTCCTGCCACGGCTTGTTTCCACAAAGGACCTCGTTGCCGTTCACCGACGTCACTGAATCATTTAACGCCTTTACGAACCGCGATCTATCTACGTTAGTTACAAAATAATCGAGTTGTCGTAATGACATATGCACGCATGGCTTAGTTCCCGCGAGAGACGGTTTAATAGAATTAAACCGTATCGCAGCGACGCAGTCAATCTGACCTGATCTTTGAGCTCTAGAAAAAGGTCAAACGATGCTTTATTAATTTACCGACGCAACTAATTGTATATAATTCCGCCGGTTCTACCGTGCGTCCACGAGAAGAAGGCGCAGCATCTTTACTTCCCCGCTCCTGTTGCACTCCGCTGACTCACAAGCATTGGTCAAGAACGGTGACGAAGATCGGCGACAGCCAATCAGCGGGCTGCAAGCAACAGTGGGGATGTAAACACGCTGTGCCTTCTTCTCGTGGAACTTGTGGACAGAAAACGTCTCGTTGAACCCTGTTAACCCTTTTATTGCGTTCGAACTTTCTTCTTTATAATCTTATCAAGAACACACTTATCGAATTGTCTACTGTCGCGTGTATCTTAAAGCGGTAAAAGTATGTTTCGTTAAAATAAATACGACCGTTATCTTGTCGTTGGAATTTTTAAAAATAGAAACAGTTTGTGCACTGTGTGTTTCCTCATATTAACTGATTATTGATTCTGCAAGATACCGTCGCGCGTAAATAATTTTTGTGTTTTCCTTACGATACAGGCAAATAAAAAGTAAAGTAAAATTTACGCGAATCGATGGACCGTTTATTCCGGACTTATTTATCGGAAATAGTCAGAATTATGATAATAATTTTCAGGTACTATGATTCCAAAATCTGGAGGCGATTACGCGTACATAAGCGACGCTTTTGGACCTTTACCAGCGTTCCTGTACCTTTGGGTAGCATTGTTCATCCTAGTTCCAACCGGAAACGCAATTACAGCCTTAACTTTCGCACAATACATTTTACAACCAGTCTGGCCAGGTTGCGTGCCCCCGTACGCAGCAGTTCGTTTACTCGCAGCTGTTATTACCTGTAAGATATGTACTTAAAGATCGGTTCGAATATATTGCTCGAAACAATTAGCAAGATTAGAAAATTTTTAGAACTCGAACGAATGTTTTATTTGCAAAACGGTGGACACGATCTGTAAAAGGAATGGAAAACCTGTGTCAGAGATCCACGGGGACGACGCCAAGTGTTTCGAGCAACGTCCGTCTTTCGTTCGTCGATCATGGAAATTTAATAATTAACGTAGATCTTGTATCGCGTAAAGAATCAACGTCGAGTCGAGATAAGATAATGAAATTATTCCTCGCAGGTATATTGACTGCCATCAACTGTTACAACGTGAAATGGGCCACCAGAGTGCAAGACATCTTTACCGGGACTAAAATCTTCGCGCTGTTGATTATCATGATCGCTGGACTCTGGTGGCTTTGCATGGGCCACGCAGAGAATTTCCGTCATCCTATGGACGGGACCAGCACACAACCTGGATATATCGCTTTAGCCATTTATTCGGGATTGTTTTCGTATTCGGGCTGGAATTACCTAAATTTTGTTACCGAGGAATTGCAAGACCCGTACAAGTAATTATCGTTCAATAATTACGCTCGTTAATATTTGTATTCAAAATCTGATATCATGGGGAAAAAATACCGTTCGAAATGATCCTTAAACTACCGATTTTATGAGACATAGCTAGCGGAACAATTTTCTCTTAACTCTTCTCACGTGCAATCTGAGAACGGAAATTTCTTTTTTTTTTTTATCATTATTTTTAACCCTTGGTTCCAAAATTTTTTTTCCATTTTTACCATTTATATTTCTCTCTCTCGCTTTCTGACTCACACTGTGTTCTCACGCGTACGCGTACGCGTAAGAAAGAAAAGGATTTAAGTAGATCGAACTTTTGCATCTTGTCCGAAACAAAGACGTCCGCGAACTCGAAGAAGAAGGCTATATTTAAATCGGGATAAAAGTGGTGCCTCGGTGAAGGATCTTTATGCAGTTACAGAGCTATATTTAAGCCGGGGATAACATATTCGCGTATCTAAGTAAATTTCGCGTTGTTTCATTTTGTCATTTTACGATTAAATCTTGTACTATTTATTTTTCGACGCCATTGAAAATTTTGATAAAGATTTGACTTTGAATACGTGAATTATTGCGTATGAATCGTGTGCGACGTTTAATTATTATTTTTCCAGGAATCTTCCGAAGGCAATTTGTATATCGTTACCCCTGGTGACCGTGATTTATGTCCTAGCGAACGTTGCCTACTTCGTGGTGTTAACGCAAGATGAAATTCTTTCATCGGACGCTGTCGCTGTCGTAAGTTTTTGTACATCTTTATGAATATTCAGATAAATTTCTTATTTAAATAATCTCGTATCTGGATAAATTCGTGTTCGATTTATCCTGTATAAAATAAGTTGTATGCGAAGTATTGTGAAAATCTTTGTTTAAACGTAAAGTACATTCGATGCCACTGAGTATGGAAAACAATATCGTTTGAATATCCTCCACGGCTTCGTTTGGTAGCTTGTATCCGAGAGATTCGATGTTTTATGACAATTCTCGCATAACTGAGGACTCTGTTTCGCCAATAACACGAGTAATGTTGTCCTTAAGGTCCCCAGATGCGAGAATTCTGTTTGTTCGCAAACCCATTGAGCTAGAAATGAGCCTCGTCGCTGAAAATGATTTTCTTTCCCAAATAAAACTGGCCTGGCAACTTGTCTAAAGTCCAAACAGCGAATTCACGACGCCATAAAATGGTCTCCGTCTCACGATAGCCATACAGCGGTGTAAGTCACATTTTAGTTGTTTCGTGTAAAATGACGTTTCACGTTCGTTGTTTAAAAGAAACATACTAAAATTACAAAAGTACATCTACTGGCTTTGAAAGGCGTTGAATAAACGTCTCGCTTTGTTCGCCACAACGTGTCTTGTCTCGTTTGACTGTATTCGAGACACGAACGAGCGGGCAATAGTCGATCGAGTAACATTGCAAACGAATATTGTAACAATTTAAACAGTTTTATCTTTCGTACACGAGGATCGTTTTATTTGCAGACTTTCGGCGACAAATTATTGGGCGTGATGTCGTGGATAATGCCATTCTTCGTGGCCTGTTCGACGTTTGGTGCGCTCAACGGTGCGATTTTCGCATCGTCGCGATTGTTTTTCGTAGGTGCGCGCAACGGCCACTTACCATCCGCAATTTCCCTCATCAATGTTCGAAACTTGACACCGATGCCGTCGCTCATCTTCCTCGTAAGTGTCTTCTCATGCGTTTTCGTCCTATATCACCAACGATACGCAAGGGTTGAGAATTCAACCATCAGATGTATGTAAAAGTTTCCATTCTCTATGTTGTAATCTGTTTTTACTTGTATACAAAATTGCGAATTACTATACACAGCTAAATAATGTATATATCACTGGTAGCGTGCGCAATTAAGCAAACAGCGAGTCACGATGTCTGATTTTTCTATCCAACGAACGATCGATCGTATTTTGAAACTCTCGATGATACGCGCGGACTGCAAGTTTAGAAAAATACTCGAAAAAAATCCAGGTTGAAGGCGAATTTATCTCGTGTTTGTAGAAAACTTGTGAACTTTCTCTGCGTTTCAGTTAGAAGTGTACGAGATAACAGATAACGCTGTCATTGATTGACATATTTGGATCAAACAAACAACGATAATACATTTATCACGAGAAGTGTTTGTATTAAGTACAACAAGATATGTATTACTTTTCGACATTGGAAGCGTTCGACGATATAGATCGGTGCTCATTCTTCTCGAAGACATCTTTTTTTTCTTTGGGAAATACTAAGAACTCGAGCGAGAAACGAACATTATACGATCATTATGTGCATAACGTGATCTATTCACCGTCATCTTGATTTGCGGTTTGCTAATTGAGAGCAATAAATTGGATCTTTCATTCCGTTAACGGTCTCTTTGATGATCGATAATGGCAGCCTTTTGAAGCACGAGTAACTCGATTATTCAAATTTTAAATTATATCAAACGCTTGTCGCGCAATTACGAGTCCGATTCGTCGTAAAGCCTAACAATATTAAAATCAACGAATTTTCACGTTCGCTATGTATTCGTAAAACACACGCGTGTTTCACGGCCGAAGACCTCGACGTAATTAAAAAAAAAAACAACAACAACAAATTTACAGTTGAATTTTTATTTCACTCTTGTACTCGAACTCGAGCTGAAGCGTTAAACTATAATTTCCGTTTCTAGTGCATTATCACCCTGGCACTTCTGATCATAGAGGATGTCTATGTGCTAATCAATTATGTCAGCTTCGTTGAGGCACTATTCACCACGCTCTCCGTGTCTGGTCTCCTCTGGCTTCGCTACAAAAGTCCCGATCGCGAACGACCAATAAAGGTACGTAAAAAATTTTACCTTCTCCGTCGCTCTGCAATCGTTTTTTTTTTTTAATTTCACCGCAACGCGTGAAATCGAAACTATCAGAATTCAAAATCAAGATGATCTATACTGCCAAAGCGTTGGAAATATTGATTGACTTTTTTCATAATTATTTTATTACATATTCGCTACTTTGGTTTTCCCGAATCGATTATTCGAGGAATCGACGTTCTGCTATATTAATTTGAAAATATTTTTCAACATTTGCGTCGATACCGTTAGAAATGTTATCATATCTTTTGTATTCCCATGAGTTTTGGAACTAGATAATGTCTAGAATAATCAACAAGTAAACATCGATAAACGAAAGAGTATGTAGTTGTTTGAAGTAGCGATATCATCGTGAGCAATTCAAGTTCAAGTATGTATCTTTTGTACACGTGTACTTTGTAGCAATTTAATTTTATTATTCCATAAAAAAATTGCTGTTCTTACAAAACTGTTTATATCGGTATCCTCGAGAGTCTTGAAAAATTTGTAAAACAAATTATACTCGAGGACAAAGAAGAACTCGTTTCTTGTTTCATGAAAACTGAATTGTTGGATGTAGTGTTAAAAAAAAAAACATTCTTTTTTTTTTTTCTCGTGTAATTACAGGTCTCGATCGTCTTACCTATTATATTTTTTATAATATGTGCTTTTCTGGTAACGCTTCCCTGCTACGTATCGCCATGGGAGGTTGGCGTGGGAGTGATAATTATTTTATCTGGCTTTCCTGTATACTGGATCTTTATTCACTGGAAAAGGAAACCTAAATGGCTCGTAAGGACGTCTCGTAAGTAACGTCTATTTAAAGACTTCGTGTTAAAATTAATTTTCGTAGTTGCTCGAAAAATAATCTATTTCGGATTGTACGGATAACAGGTTTTTCGTTCTTTCTGTTACAGATGATTTTAACATGATGTGCGCGAAACTATTCATGTGCGTGCAAGAAGAGAAAAATGATTGATAACGAAATGCCATATGCCAATGTACATTTTTATACGAAATTTGCATAGTATGAATGTGTGCTGCGTTCGGTCCATCGACTCGATTGCTTGTAAATTCTAATGCCAGACGATAATTACACTTTATCGTTGAGAAAAGTAATCATCTGGTCTCGACTGAGCTGGCTACAACATTCCAATGAAATCTGTTGCTGCTTCACGCGGAATGTAGAAACGAACGAATCATGCGACGGTAAGTGAACCGCATTTTTATACACGATCTATCTACACTGAGAATTAAAAGTATTTCTATAGTTCCGCTCATTCGTAAATTTTAATAAAAAGATTTGTGCACATTTCTGGAAACGTCTAAAATAAATTTTATATAAAATGAACTCGCATATTTATGTTAATTAATAGTAAATTTAAATACTGCTTGTTTCGGGAAATAACATTTATTTCTTAATTGAAAAGATTTTTTTCCAAATAAAAAAAAAGTATACAAATACTTATTGGAATTGGAATTTTTATGAACGGGAATAAATTGAACATCTTCAGCTATAATCGACGCGACACATTTATTCGAAACATTTTTAGAAACGTGTACAAATTGTTTGTTGTATGAAAATTTATTAACAAACGGAGCTATACAAATCTCAGAATTTATTTGCGCGAATACTTTTTACACTCGCTCTATATCGCGTACAACCAGTAACGAGTAAATCTACATACAAGTATACTAAAGTGTACAGAAATTGTTCGTGTCATACGTGTTTCGTTGGTGCTCTATTGCAAACATAAACAGTCCTATAATAGCATGCATCCTTACTTTGGTATTTCATACTATGTTATGTATATGTAGATGGATGTTTGTGGATTTGTATGTCCGACTGTATGTAAAATTTACATTGACCGTGTCAATTACCAGAGCCTTCTATCATATACAATAATTTTCTACTAATTTTTAGTCGTGAGAATTGTGTAGAATAATTACAAGATATCGTCTACATTTAATTCTATAAAAATTACCTCTTAATTCCTATCAGATTGTGTTCATCGAATCTTTATAGCCAATAAGGTTGTCTCTAAACTATAATATAAATATAACCGAATAATGAAATTCTTAAGGAGGCACAAAAAGGTCTTAACAAAATACCTAAACTTCCTTTGTCTCTTTTCACGAGTTGTATGGATTAGCCAAATATGTTTTAAATAAGTATTATGGTTGTAATTAATCGGTAATGAGCAAAATTAATAACGCACACAGAGCTATTTAAATCGTAATGATACTTTTAGGAAACTTTTATGCACGATTATCTTAATTTTATTTGTTTATGAATAATTGTGTTTGATAATGGTAATTATAGCGATGACAAATTGATCAATTGAACGCACATAATATTGTAATATAAAAATGTAGTCCTACATATTTATGCTATTTAATTGTATATACAATACGAGCAATTATCAATTATTTATCACAATTTATGTATCGATAGATTGCTTTGTTTTATAGCTAATTACTACCGACATCGTTGACAAACTACTAATAGTAATTTGTATATCCCTTTTATCTGCCATATTTTTATTTTAAATTATATTTATCGGTAAATTATTTATAGAATATCCAAGTGAGAAATAATAGAATTGTATTGTTCGATATTTCACAGAAATCTGACCTTTGTGAGAAAACATTTTTCTCTCATTTTAAAGTATAAGGAAAAATATTCTTTGTTCGTTTGCGAAATTCATTTAGTTCGCAATTTTATTTTTCTTACTGTATGACATATCTGGTCAAATTGTGCATTTAAAAATAGGAAAACGAAATAGTGTCTTACATATTGTATTAAGAGATAATTAATATTTTATACAACGTAAACAAGTAGTGTCAAGTTGTAATATTTTATATTGTGTATAACTACGTTGAATATTTCTAGCTGTATATTGTTAAATTCGTATCATCGCAATGCTTGCATTTAATTTGGACAATAACTAATAATTAATGGAATATTTGATTGGTTTAATAGCATTAAAAAACCATTAGTCTTACTCTGGATTATCTTTTGTATTAACATCGAGGAAAAATAAATTGCAATGATCGTATATTCATAAAAACAACGACTGATAATGTGCCTTATGTGTCGTGCAAACAAAGAATTTATTACCAAAGATTTCTTGAAGCGACTACCTACACTTTTATTCGGGATATGTTATTAAATCTGTATACTTTTTTTAAACCAAATTTAATGCTGTAAAACAGTTAATTACCAATTTAGTTAATATATTTATATTTTAAATATAAATATAGTTGCGTTTAAATTTAATCGATGTTACATATTTGATTAAAAAGAACATGTAACTAACTGACGATTAAACCTGTATAATAAGTTTATTAAGGACTAGAATAAATTCAGCTGTATTTTTTACACCATATTTTTAGAGTAAGTAGGGGAGAGTAGAGTAAAACCAGCGAATGAAATACAGAATTTTGTTATTAATTGAGCATATATTAATTCACGAAATGAGATCACTTTGTAGATTTATATATTGAACTTATCAGAAGTTAATAATTTGCAATGATAAAAAGAATAACTTGCAAATAAAGTACGACGAAGAAAGTATAAAATGTTAATAGGAAACGTGTGCAAAGGTGAGAGTAGTATAAGCAATAAATATTGTAGCGATAAACATAATAAATAATGTATCGACGAAACAAATTTCTCATTTAATTAATTTTTTACGACAGTTTCGAAACAAGTTCGAATAAAAATGGTAAGTTATAAATGAAAGTTTTATTGGGTAACTTTTTACTTTTTTGACAAAAGTGCTAATAAATACAAAGTATCAAATAAAGACTGCAATATATATTTGCAATACTATATAATAAATACAAGATGTTTTACATATTAATACGACTGAAGTAACATAATTGTAATTTCAAATTTGTTGTATCGTAGGCATGTTAGACATCGCCTGCAAAACAAGGAATAAAGTTAATTCTACTATCCTCGCAAATATTAACTATCGTAATATAAATATGTATTATGGGTTTCCGTGGCGTTAGATTTTTAATGAGGTCGAGTGTTTCAATAAACAAATAAAATGTTATATTTGAAGATTGCATGCTTCCTGGTAGACTATTTGAATAGAAGGTTAGAGACTTTGATGGCACGTAATACTCGCTAAATCGAGTAAAATATATTTAGTCAGATTTAAATGCGATTTTTGATTATAGTAACATATTAGTGACTTACTTACTGCTGTTTATTATATATATATATATATATATATCATTTCTAAATATAAAATTATATTACTATAATTTGATGTCTACGAAAAATATTCTGTGTCTATCTTTTATTTCCACATACGTGCTTTCAAAATTTCCCGGCACCGTTCGAATTAATTGATAGACATATTTTATTTGTCAGAGCAAAAAAATACTTATACTATTACAATAATTATTCGTTATAATATTAATTAAATACGATTGTTAATTTATTTATTTACTGTGTAATATTATAACATTTATCCTACTGCCGAAGAAGTCACCTATGTTGCCAAAATTAAAAATCCCTTACATCTCTGACTAGGCTTCTTTTTTTTTAATACTACATTGACAAAGCATTTTTTACTTTGTTTAGCGACTACTATACATATACCCTGAAAGTCTATAATCCTCCTCCTCGGAAAACCCTGTATATTGAAAATCTGCTTCTGTTGGTTTACACCATCGTTGTATTACATTTTTATATTTGTATGTTTTTTTTTTTTTTTTTTTATCATAACGTAGTTTATCTCAATTAATAGCATAATCAAATTTGTGACTTACATTCACAGAATCATTCTATCTTTAGATATAATTATGTTCCATAAAATTCTTGTTTTTTTTTTTCTCTAACATTAACTATTTCCATTCTTAAATGAGAAAGAATTAAGGGTTAAAAGATAGAAATCTCATAATACATCAACAGAAATGTTTATATATTATTTTTAGCTCTTTGTATAAGGATTAAAAAATGGCTTGTCAGTCCAAAAGGTTCGCTATTCATATACTATGTATACATATGTGTAACAAAAATAGTGGCAATTTCACGACGATCGATTTAATACGAAACTTAAACAAAAGCCACTAATGGTTTAATGACCAAACAATCGTAAACATTATCACTATTGTTTCAACCGAATTGACAAACGTCTAGAACCATTTATAAATTTCACTATCGCTTTCCGTTCCCCTCTCAACTATCGTGCAGTATATTTGTCGTACAAGCACCGCGAAATCGTAACGAGATCATGCTGCAATTTCACGGTCCATAAAAAAAATATATATATATATATGTATGTATGTATATATATATATATATATATATATTATGAAACCAATATAGTTCACAGACTAAAAACCTGCATGTAGCGGTTTATTTCTGCAAATAGCAATCGTGTTTTTCGTTCTTTTAACGAGTTTGGAACGATCAACCCTCGGCAAGCGGTGGCGTGACCCAACCGTATTTTTCATGAGTCTTCACCAGACTTCTGAAGGATTCTTCGGCAGAGCGCCTATTGAATTCTTTGTTCGCTTTTGGTTTCCTCGCAACACGACCCTGAAAGATTGAACGCGTTTAGCAGATTTTTAAAGACGTTGATTAAACAGTTATTCGAGCATCGATACGATTGATCGTAATATAGTTGCATAAATTGTGCTTAGACTTGTTAGTACAAGGTGTTGTTAAACTGATCGACCAGATCAGAGTAACGAAACAATTTCTAATAACTATGTTTGTACGCGATAAAACCGGCCTGCGACCGCCAGTGCAGGTGGTTAGATACTATAATCTGCTGGAAACGACGTTCCAGGTTGTATTGCAGCCTGTAACGTCGTTAAAACGAGCTATCTCCCGAAAAGATAGGTTCAACTTGGCTCTATAACCTCAAGAAAAGAGTAGGGAGCATTCGAGGCTTGATTAATGTTTAAACCATCATTTTCTTCGTCTCGGTTAACAGTAAGAAATGCAGAATCGTGATAGTCGTAAAGACCAAAAAGCAATTGTAATTGTATCGAGTCAGTATGTACGTAAGAAAAGTTAAAATCATTTCACCTGGCCTTTAACGATGCTAGCAGCAAATTGCGTGATGACGGCTTCGATGGTATACGCGCTGGTCCATCCTCTGGGTGTGAGGAGTTCCATACAGATAGCGCCGCCTTCCATCACGAATCCTCTCTCGATTCGAGGTGAAATGACACGCATAAAAGGAGGGGCGAACGGAAAATTCTCCGGGAATACGACGTGTAGAAGTATGTAAGGTATATTGAGCTCCCTCATGTCTGCTGCTAGTTCGCTTTCCGGATCGATTTTTTGCAGTTTCACGTGCCACTCGAACAAATTGTCGTTGACCAACTCCGCGGTGAAGGTCGATTCGAGCCGGTGTTGCGTCCTTTGAATTTCGCTGAGTTCCTTCATTAGTCGACGTAGACGAACCCTCTTGTCCGGTACTACAACAGCGCCCTACAATGGATTCAGAATTACAATTCCGTTTCAGGTTAATACGATCGAAATATACATACTTTTTAACCCTTTGCGTTCTCAGAATTAGTAGCAGTAGAAAGTAAAGAAACTATCCGACTGATAGATATTGCACAATGATTCGTACTCTAGAAATTGTACTTTATGCACAAGTATGTACGCAGACGTGTATTTTGACGAGTTAAGGGTCAGTGATCTTGTTCGACGTTCAGAATTATGTAGTTTGATAAATTTTAACGGGTGACTATAATCAGCGTTAGTATCGAAACGCCTGCTTGAAAGATACCTGAGCGGTGCTGCCGGCGGTTTTCTTTGATTTAAAGAAGCAACTTCCGTAGTTGGAGTTGCTGGCGTCTGAATTTTCGGTCGACACGCCGTCGGACGGTGTGACTGCGTCGGGACGATGATGTCGACTTAGAAGCCTTCTCGACGGAGAACTCGTTGAACTGCTCGCTGCTTCCTGGTCGGAAATTTTCTCAGAGGTTCGGAAGATTTTCCGAAAAGCGGCTACGACCTTCTCCTTTGATCTCGTAGACATGGCTTGGCGGCTACTTTTAACGCTCTGTATTTACAATCTTAAATTAACCCGTTAAATTTTATTAAAATCTGTTAACCCCTGAATAATATTTAAATTAATTTAAATTTGTCCGTACATACAATGCTCGCAAAAAAAAAGGAAATTTATTTTACTAAATCGCAGCGATTTTTAAATCAAACACGGATACATTGTTTTAGATAAAGAACTATTTTACACGATTAAAATTCGCTATTCCGAAATCTTAATCATCTTAAACGTTATCGATATCATTATCTATATTGTTATTTTCATTCTGAAAACGGAATTTTAACGATTGTTATTATACAAATCGGGAAAATATTATATTTTATGGACGAAATGTTTGTTAAATGCCGGGAGATTGTAAATATGGTAAATGTTATCGTTACGAAAGAAACGTCTGAGAAAAGCTGCATAAAGGTCCGGTAAACGTCACAGCAGCATCCGCAGCTGTTTAGTATTATTTTTACACTGCGTTGCTCACCCTTTTTCGTACAAAGATCAAGGCTTCCTCCACGAAGAGACATCCAATTGCTTGCAAAACATTTTAATGTCGTTAACATATAACACTTTGTTTTTCGAAGAATAAATAACTCGGAGGAAAAACTGTATCAGATGCAAGGATACGGGAGACGAAAGACACGATAGAACACGGCGCAGTCTCCACCCTCATTGAACTGCTCGAGCGCGTAGTTCGGAAAGGGTTGCTACCTTCGTTTACCAGGGCCGTCTTACGAACAAATACCTTTCGTCCACAAAACATTAGTTAACACGTAGACGTAAATTTTATTCACGAATAACCGAATACAAATTTTATATTGATTCGTAAACTAACTTGTACGTATCTTTGGTTCATAAATTCATTTAGAAATTAATATTTCAAATTAATATTCAGGCCAGCAAAACCGTGGGCAAAAGCTAGTTTACGAGCAGATCTAATATTTTTATTTGTTATTCGAGAATAAAATTTGCCCAACTTCACGAGTTACAAGAAACGTTTCGAGTACTTTTTCGATCGTGTATCTGATACTAGATTTACGGAATCCATCGATCAGGAAAGCTACAGAACTAATAAATATTTATTAGCAATGTATGTAACGATACGAATATATATCCTAATTGATAAAAACCACCGATTTTATTTCTGAAATTTTTATTGTTTTTTTTAGTGGATTTAGTGGAAGGGGCACTTTGAAAGTAGTTTGCCAATTAGTGACCCTATTGTTAGGATAAATAATTTTGCACCTTCCAACCAGCAATGTTGCTATTGCTGTATGCATTCTCTACGATTACTGTTTAATAACGAAGAAAAGTTGTACATTTTCTTTGTTAGAATCATTATAATCTTACATAGTAATGTTCGTTACAAAATATTAAGTTCAAAATAATTTAATCGACGTCGTGCGTAATTGATTCGGACTTGAATTAAACACTTACTCTACGACTAATAAATTACAAGCAAACTTTGTTAATCCTAGCCATCGGTCGAACAATCTCTTTGTAATTACTTCGGGTCTGGTTTGTATTTTTCTTTCAACATATTTAGTTTTTAAAGGAACGAATAAGGCGTATAAAATTTGCAGAAACTGCGGCCCTGCCTAGTCCATACAAATTTAACAAGTTAATATCGATCCCGTTTACGTTATCTAATGTTGAGTGACATTAGATTGCATGTTATAGATTGTTACCGAGTGACCGTATTAACGTGTCTTGAGAATGATAAGTAAATTTTTACAGTTAAATATACGGATATCTGTACCTTCATCTATACGATATGCATGTCTTTGCCTGTACAATATCTTTACAAACTATTTACTTCTCCATGGGACCACGACATAACAGTTCAAATACCGATTCGAAAATAAAAAGACCAAAATTTGTTTCGTTACGTAATGAAAGATGAGAAAGCATGATAAATATTGAACCCAAGCCCATTTTAATTCTTCCCAGATACTAGGTTGATAATAAATTAAATGTCCCTGATAGATTATCTCTCCGCGGACAATTACCGCATCTTTGTTCGAATAACCGACTTGACTCGTTACGTATTCGTTGTTGATTTTTGCTGAAACTAAAGTAAGATGTTCGAATTTAACAATCTCTTCTAATTTTGGAAAGAAATATAAAGAGACGATACAAACGTTTTCTGTTAGCATTTTTCATAAGTAATTCTTCTAGCGAATAATCGGCCATTTCTATACTGTGATTATACGTTTCATGTAAACCTTCGTTATTAAAAAGACCTTTCTGCTCCAAGGTTAAATCTCCAGAAAACTGTACGCTTTGAATCTCTTCGTTTAATACATGATTAAACACAGCAATAGATTCTACAGTTACCTTAAACAAATGCTACAACAAATCAGTAATAGCTATATCAATATTTTACAAAGAAAAAAAGACCAAATAATAACTTAAATTTACCTTTAGTCTAAAATTAAAGAAAAGTAAAAGCTTAAGAGACTTGATCGGTTTATCTGTATAGAAATGGGCCTCGAATTTTAAAATATCCTTTTTACCATCGTTATTTGTATCTATCTCTTGCACCTAAAACAATAATTATGAAATATTAAGGATTATCATAAAATAATTAACACGCATAGATATCAATTCTATAGAGTCGTACTTAAATATTATACTCGTATAATGAAAAGACCTTTACTAATATGCAGTCATCTGTAATTTTATTATTTTTGTACGATGTGAACGTCGAGCAAATTATTGGATTAATGTTATAATCCCTGTAAGCTAACAGTAGATATTTATAAGTGAACAATACATTGGGTGTTTCTGCATATACACGATTTTTCAAAGAGAATCCTGAAAGTTAAACATTAATAATAATATGAAACAAATAAACAACCATGCTTAAAATATATAATATTCTTATACCAGAGTAATACCGTTATTAATACTGTTATTATTTAAAAAATTACAAAAAGAACATAAACAAATGAAAACGATAAAATACTAGGAATACATACCTCCCGCGTTATAAATAATGAAAAATGGTGTAAGCAACGACAGTGTTACAAAAAGTAACACGACGAGGAAACTTAGGGAGCATATATTACTTTTATATTTATAATTGACGGAGCATGAAAATATTTCAAAGATGGCCATTATGGCGCGTTGCCTTGACAACAATCATCGAAATAGAGTTTTGATCAATGTCGCAGGAAATGCAACGAATATTTTAACTCGAAAATAAGCGCGCTCATATTTGTAACATAAACTGACATTTGACTTTTTACCAAGTAAATATCACTTGTTCTACATCTTTGTCTTGTAAACAGAGTATTTAATTTTCCTTTACTTTAATTAAAATTCGAATTCATTATTTATGAATAAATTTCGCTAATTACAGCGCTAAAGGGTGTCTAGAAATATCGATCCCGTAAAAAATCAGTTTCGGTTTTAGTCGTTCAGCGTTACCTAAAATAATCGGGGGAAAATGTGCTGCCTTCTATGAATGAGGATTCTAACTACTAGTATAGGAAGAGAGAGCAATAATATGCGATAAAAATAAAGGGAGCAATATAACAAGGACAGAGAGAACACCTGTGGCCACGGAACCGGAAGCAGGAGTTACAGCCGCGCCCTCTTTTTACGCTGACTTTGGAGCCAATGGTAAAAAACGGTTGCCGTGTCTGGTAGTTTTCCGCAATCGTTAATCGTTCGGTTTTTATTCGTAGCGGGCCAGGTCATTACGCGAAAACCGCGGTCGATTTATTCCGAGTTCGCCACGGGCCACGAAATCATTGTTATTCGCTGTTCGTTATTTGTTACACGTTCGATCGTTCTGTTTGCTAAAATAAACCCTTTTGTTGCCTGTTGACTGGTGTCCGTACGTTCATACCTCCCGCCTTCGCTTCCGTTTTCACGCGACCTAATGAAAAATTCACCGACCAGAAGGAAACGGAAATACAGTGTGCGACAAAACGACAGCTAGTATCCTTTCCCGCCATTTCGATTAATCGAATCACAGCTTGATTATTCACTAATTACTATTTTCCTACGATTAAATTATAAACTTTTAGAATTTAAGACTATAGTGTGGACCCTATAAAATAAAATACTGGTCATTATTCAAACTAATATCCTTCTTAGGGTAATATAAAAATTCATTCTAACAAAGTTATAAGAGAAAGATTATATATACACTTCTGTTTATTATTTTATCAATTTACTCAATACTTTTGTTTCTTTACATTAAAGATTATATAGATTTTAACAGACTATTAAAATAATATTTTACCATATAGCGCGTTGAATGCCAGCTAATTTATTGTAATCTGCTAAATCACGGAATACAATTCTTGACAATCTCCATCTGCGAACAACACCACGCGGTCGAGATGTTATTACACAGCGTGTTGTTAATTGTTTCTTGGCCGATTGACGTGGAATTGTTTCGTCTATTTGTTGACCAACAGCTTCCTGTACGAGTAAAACTTTTTAGTTCGATCAATAACGATCACCGAATAATTAAACTATGATATTTTGAGGTTAACTTTGGTTAAATAGACGTACTATAATTTCACGTGGTAAAATATTATTTCTTTTCATGGCTACCAATCGAAGTCGTTCAGGTCCATACTCTTCCGCTACCTTTCTTCGTTTCATGTCACGAATCATCCATCGACCAAGAAATTTATTACGCACTTGTTGATACTAAAGGGCGAGTTAGTTAACATTTAAGTCAAATTTGTTAACTGTAAATCATAGAATCTATACGTATATTTTATTATTACTTACATTTGTACTTAAACCAAACACCGTTAAATTTGTACCTTTCGAAAGAAAATTTGAAAATCTTAACAAATTATTTGCTATGGTAGCCATGTTTGATAAACCATCTGTTCCTTAGACCATGTATACTAAGGTCTGTTGAACAGACTCTCTTCTTTGATTTGTGCTGCGAAGTCGTGCATCATAGAAATACGTAAAGAATATCGATTACATTTATAAGTTTTGTATATATGCATGTACTTTTCTGTGGTCTTTTTTAGACGATTAATCTTTCGCAAAGATTATTATATATGTTCACTAATTTATCTATTGGAAAATTTCATAGAAAAAGTGTTCCACGGTATTACAATCTTAAAATTCACTAATATTTCACGATCATTCCTCTTTAACTTGTAACAACTCTCACAATTAGTAGGAGTACAACTATGAGAATAATATACTTAACAAAATTTAAAAATCACAAACATTTTCTACGTGCTACTGTTTCATAGGAATATTTCGCTTTTTTTTCAAAATTGCGTACAGCGACAATGATTGCAAATTAATAAAAATGTTTAGTGATCTATTTTATTAATGTTTTCGACCTTGTTCGGTTATCTCTAAAATATTTAAGTATATTTATTTACAATATACTTCGTTTGTACGTAACAAATAATGACCTATTATATGAACAGAATTGTAACATAAATACGCTCGTCAGAAATCAGACTAGGCAAACCACGGAGTTTAGATATTATTGTGTTAAACATCTCATCAATTTTATGCACAGTTTCTATTACTTGAAATATTTAAAACACTTTTGCAGTTAACGAAAACTGTAATACCGAGCATTTTTGCAAATTATACACGCAATGATAGAAACTGTAGCGTTTAAGATTTCCGGTTGTTCGTTTTATTAACGGTTACCTTAGAAATAATGTGTGATTGAGAGGATCGTGTTTTTTTTTTTTTTTATCACAGTAGCGTATATATATTTTCGGATTAACCAGAAGTCCAAGCCCACAGTATTTAAAAACATTTATTTTCTTGAAACAGTACATTTATTAATTTTGAAATATTTTGAGTTTATGAACGTTTAAGCAATTACATTAAAAATATTCAATTAGATATTATTTTGAGTACTAGAGAAAAATAATTGGGAGGTAAAGTTGAGCAAATTTATCTATGGACGAGTAATTTTCGATTCGTCGTAGTCTAGGTTTCGTCCATGGTTTCGCTAGTCTAGATATTCGTTTAAAAAACCGTTCTTGTATCGTAAATGACGTATAGAAGTGATTAAAAAATTTGCTCAATTTTATGCTAGGAGAAATAGGAAGTTGAACGGTAGAAGAATGAATCAATAACTGTTTCCGTAGCTCCTTCATTCACTTTCATTCGTTATTACTGTTATTTATATGTATGTACAGAAAACCGTTATTAACCAATCTCAATTGTAGGAGAATCGCGGGCTAAAAGTGCTGAAGGATTGCAGAGCAATCGTATTTTCGCACATACTTCCTTTCAATATAGGACGCGTGTGAAAATGCAAGGTAAATCCTTGTAAAGAAATATTTCGTAGAAAAATGTTTTGTGTATATATCTTCAACAATTCAATTCCTTACCTAATCCGGTAATCGAAAAGTAATAAAAAACAGGTCCCATTTTCCGATCTAAATCTGCACTGAAACTACCAATCTTTTTCCCCCCTCTAAATTTAGTTTTGTTGCATCGACAAAAGTTTGATTCACGATGGAAAAATGAAATGTCAATTATAATAAATTTCTTTTTTTCAACTCGAGTAAATATAAAAATATTAAGTAACATCGGAAATACGAAGAGTTTTACGATAAGGATGGCAATGACTAATTAGTAATAACGACAACAAAAAAAATGAAATGTTTCTCGAATATCGCAGATATAGGATTTATTTCCGTATAATTAGAAAATATAATTAAGCCGAGCTAAATTATGAAGTCTGTTGATGTTGTTGTGAAACAGATGTTAAAAGTAGTTCTTGTAGTTTACTTTCTTTTTTCACGGAATTCGTGGAAACGAAAATAGAGGTTGCTTGTTCCTCGCATCGTTTGGTCAACTGACCTTTCCTACGGAATTCTTTACGATGAGAGAAATGTCGAAGCAACCACTTTGATAAACGAAATACGCGAATGTCGAAAAAATGTGGCGAATGTGAAATTTCACGCACATGAAAAGCCAGTCGTCGCGATTCCTTATCAATTCTGTTATTCTTGTTCATTGGTTGCGAGTTTGTAGAAAATATTGTAGTTTGCGAAGGCAATAAAAACATAACGCTGTCCTCGCGCGAAAAACGTGAAAAAAGAAGGTCAACTACTTCAGCTACTATACGCCGACGATCATCTGGCGATACACGTGTACGGAAACTAGTTATTTCCTTCTCTGGGCCCTCTCGGCAGCCCTGGTGACTTTGCCAGTAGCATCCTTGAAATTGACAGCCTTGATGACACCGACAGCCACAGTTTGACGCATGTCACGAACAGCAAAACGTCCTAAAGGTGGAAATTCTTGGAAAGCCTCAACGCACATGGGCTTGCTCGGAACGAGCACAACAATGGCAGCGTCTCCAGATTTAATAGCTTTCGGATTCTCTTCGGTGGTTTTTCCAGTACGACGGTCACACTTCTCTCGAATTTCAGCGAATTTACACGCGATATGAGCAGTGTGGCAATCCAACACTGGAGTATATCCATTGCTGATTTGACCCGGATGGTTCAGCACAATTACCTGTACAGCAGAGAGCAAGAATACGAGATTAAACGTTTTTCCAGATAATGTTTTACAAAAATTAAACATCCATAATTTATATTGGCATTCAGACGTTCTTAAGCCGTCATTGGATTAAATAATCTTCCGGTGAAAACCGCGAATGAAATGCACGAGTTCTCATCATTATGCCAATTATGATCTATAGTTAAATTTGCCCACAATTTGTAATATTAATTTGTACGCATACCTGTGCAGTGAAATTCTCAGCACCTTTAGGCGGATTGTTCTTAGAGTCTCCGGCTACGAAACCACGACGCAAATCTTTTACAGGTACGTTTTTAACATTGAAACCAACGTTGTCACCAGGAACAGCCTCTTGCAATGCTTCGTGGTGCATTTCAACAGACTTAACTTCAGTGGTCAGAGCCGTAGGAGCGAATGTAACGATCATTCCTGGTTTTAGTACACCAGTCTCGACACGACCAACCGGTACTGTTCCGATACCACCAATTTTGTATACGTCCTACAATTAAATTCGACACAACGTTATCGTATGTTTCTTCAAAGGATTAATAATTTTGTACAATAATTGATTTTAGTCAGACACCTCCGACCATCAGCGAATTAAAAAATCCTCCGGTGGAAACCGCGAATGAGTTGTTGTAAGTGTTATCATCATTCGATACCAATAAAAAAAACCTAATGTTATTGCAATTTGTCGAGAAATTTACCTGTAGTGGAAGACGAAGTGCCTTATCCGTAGGTCTTGTAGGCGGAAGGATGGCATCAAGCGCTTCGATCAGGCATTTTCCTTCCGCTTTATTCTCTTTACGTTCGACGGTCCATCCCTTGAACCAAGGCATTTTGGAAGAAACTTCCAACATGTTATCTCCGTGCCAACCGGAAATTGGAACAAATGCAACGGCAGCAGGGTTGTAACCAATTTTTTTAATGTAGGACGATACTTCTTTCTTGATTTCTTCGAATCGGGCTTCGGAGTAGGGTGGTTCGGTAGAGTCCATCTTGTTAACACCAACAATTAGTTGTTTTACACCAAGAGTAAATGCGAGCAGAGCATGCTCACGGGTTTGTCCATTTTTAGAAATACCGGCTTCGAATTCACCGGTACCAGCGGCAACAATTAATACGGCACAATCAGCCTGTGAAGTACCAGTAATCATGTTTTTGATGAAATCTCTGTGTCCAGGAGCATCAATAATAGTAACATAGTATTTAGAGGTTTCAAATTTCCACAAGGCAATATCAATAGTGATACCACGTTCACGTTCAGCCTTCAACTTGTCCAATACCCACGCATATTTGAAAGATCCTTTACCCATCTAAAAATCCATAGAAATCGTTAATTTTTTAATAATTTTACACTAAATTTCTATTGTTAAATATAAATTAGATTTTTGATCATCACTGGACCAAAACAAATCAAGTGATCAGTGACGCTGAATTGATATTTTATACTAGAATTTTCTTTACTTTGTTAGATACATCAGGCCATATCCATTATTTACCTCTTGCGCTTCCTTTTCGAATTTCTCGATTGTACGTTTGTCAATACCACCGCATTTGTAAATTAAATGACCAGTGGTTGTGGACTTGCCAGAGTCGACGTGTCCGATCACCACAATATTAATATGTACCTTCTCCTTACCCATGGTGAATTTATGGCGAGACTACTGGTTAACTCTAACGAAACAAAAATGTTTGAATATTTACACCTTTATATTACTGAAAAAAATAATTTAAAAAGTCTCTTCAATTTGAAGGAGTTACGTGAACGCACCATCGTCCAGTTAATATTTCAAATTTAGTTTACAAACGTAAGAAAATGTTTACGCGACTTTATAGAAAATTGACTTTTATTAAAATCAAGTAAACCTAGAAATTATTAAGTTTTAATGAAAAAAAGGAGTCATGTTCATCCTAACGTCCACGTGGCGATATCTGAATATTCGAGAACGGAACTGGCAGCCATTTTGTAGATGGCGAGAACATTGCAACGTTGCCGCGATTTCCTTGACGCTGTGCCATTGCATGATGCCATATTATGCATAATTGTGTTTTATATATATGTATATAAAGGCTGTTTTATTGTTTAAATATTCAAAGTCATTAATCTAAAATTTATGCCAGAAGTTACAAGATTCTATCAACCAAACACATACTATTATTCCTACGTTCACAAAATGCATTAACAAAATTAATTACTTTTCACAATGAAAATTTGTTTTTAAATTGTTGAAGAAAAAGTAATAATATCAACATAACAAACATATATTCAATGCAAATATTGTAGAAAAATGTTAATTAATATTATGCAACAGCATATTGAATGTTGAAGTAAATATCATGTGCAGTAAATGCCACACGGTTCGAAATTAATCACTTATTACTTTCAATAATACAATGTTCACTTGTTATCACTTTGATACGAAGATAACCATTTTTACAATTAAGAAAAAAGATCAGCATAACAATTCGTCACAATGAAAATCGGTGAGCAAACTCCATTGTCGGCGACAAGTCGTCCCACAAGGTCGTTGTTTCACAGAATTTCTAACAGATTCGTAATGCATGTATGGATAGATCAGTTACTCAGGATGAAGTATCATCTACAACACCTCTACAGTTGCAACATTAAAACTACTATTGTCGATGTTTTCGCGTGGTCGCAGAGCGCACAATTGAACGTTTTACACTACGAATATATCTCCAATTATGCACGAACTCGTGACCGAATATCCAACTCTGACAAGCGACCGCCATACTGTATCCGGGTATTTGTCTTTTCTCAACTTTTCAAGCTTAAAGAATCAAGTGCGGAGCGTAATTTACTTTCTCCGCGTGGATCTTTTCGTGCGGTCGACAATATTAATCGCGAGATTCAACGTTCTTTTTTCGAAATATATATCGGACGACTTTTACGAAGATCAGCATGTGGTCCGCAATTGAACAGCCGGCTAATATCAGAGGATCGACCATGCGCTTCTTTTCCAACGTTGTAATTCACCGGGAAAAACCAATATTTCGGGGAAACTGTTGTCACAACACAATTCGCTGATATTTCCGTTGCTGTTTTATTCTGTACCTGACGTTCGATGCTACCTTTTCGGTAAGAAAATCAGCGGATTATAGTCCTGTGCTAAGGCCACGAACAACCACTCACCTCCAGATGCCACGACAGAAAGAGATCGTTCAAGTGAAGTGACATGCGCATACGGCTTCCGACCATAGTCTCGAACCCAGCGCCTCCACCATATCGATCACTTACGAGCCAATAAACCCTTTCTTTCCACATTATTTATTATCTTTTTTTCGTTATTAATATTTTTCATTAAGTAACCGAAAGGTTGTTTTATTATTTTAACAATGCGATTAATAGAATCGTAGATTTCGACGAATACAAAAATTAGAGTCTTTAATAAATGGAACGCTGGATTCAAGGCTACGGTTACGCAGCAACATCAGGCGCGCCGAACTTGTGCACATACATACGTGTTTATGTATGTATATATACTAAGCGGCGTAGAAGTGTGCATCTGTGTGAGCATGGAGTCGCGAAAAAGACAGAGTGCTAAGTTGTATGATCGGAGATACATTCGTGCGTCGTAACATCAGGCTCGATATTACAACCATGGATCCATTGTACTTTAAGATGTTAAACGATAATGCGAAGTATCATTCGATTTCCTTCGAGACTAACTTTTCATCAAAATATTTGATCAAAGATGGTGCAGCCGAGTTCAATACGATCATGCTAGTCGTTTGTACCGGTGCTAATGCAGCATGGCTACGATGCAATCCAACGAATAAAGATCATTACGCGGCGAAATATTTTGCATTTTATCCAAATATTTATCTAACGTTATTTCAATTACAACATCTATGTTGTACGTTATGGTTTGACTTTATGTTATGAAACAAATGTCATCAAATCTCTTCTTTATCAGAGAAGGTAGAGACAAATTTTATTTAACATTTTTATAGAAAATATAATATTTTCTCGAATTTATTTAAAACATTTTTTTAGAAGTTTTAAAATGCTCAAAATGATATCTGTTTGCAGCGGTACAGTTCCTGTATCGAACAATCACGGATTGCGATGCTGTTTCAATTGTCTCTAGTGGCGATACCACATATGCTCTAATTATACAATTTATCATGTCCTCTGGAATGGTAGGTTGCTGTCGGTAAATTTCTTCTTTTAGTTTTTTTTCTCAACGGGGTGAAATTCCGCGACCATGAAATAAAATTAATTCGTGTAAATTAAAACGAGTAATTAAACTATTTTGCCACTTTTCTACGTTACTAGAATGGATATGCGTTATAAGGTAGGGAAAAATAAACGAATGATTGATTTTAGCAGTAATATATATTTTTTATCCAGTGATTATTTATATTTTTTTTATCGTTTCAAATAAATAATCGTTCGTATCACGTACTCATGCGTTCGAAGGTAATCGTTTTTAAATGGTCATATACTTGTGTACTGTGCAGAACTGAGAAGATAATTAGCGGAAGGAATGCGAGTACGGATTGGTCGTAGGGGATTGGTCACGCCCACTACGCATTTTTGGTTGCGATTTATTATAGACCGAAGCTACATACATTTACTTACTAAGTCCAATTAATCTCTCGCCGTCTCGCTAATCATCTTTCCATTTCTGCACAGTAAGTGCACGAGAAAGGGAAACGAAAGAAGCAATTAATTCTTTATGAGTATGATTATGAGGGTATTTTTAAAGAAAAATCGTCCTTCTAGCTTCAATGGGCTATACATGTGTATATGTATGTGTATACGGGAGCGGCGCGACTAAGTTTCAAAAATTAAAAAATAACTTGTATCGTTAAGGAAGAAACAGATATACGTATACATACAAGTTGATAAAAATCCCAGCAAATATGCAACGGTATTTCATGTTCGAGTTATAGTCTATGATACACGCAATGTATAATCGTTGCGTAATGTAATTGATAATCGTGTGGTACAGTCGTATTTCATCATTATGTTTCATTTGTTTACTTCTGTTCGTGACATCCACTTTCCCTATCGATGCTTCCCTTTCGAAAATCACGAAAGACAACACACGTTATATTATCTTAATGCCGACATTTTGGTCAATTTTTTTTTTAATCAGAAGTAAATTCTCGCTTAACGTTTTTTCCCCATTCTATATACATTCTCACCCACTTTATATTTTATATACTTCTCCATTCACACATCGTTATCTCAGGCTTGTTATTCCTTATTGGGATAATCGTAAAGTACAGGGTGATTCCTTCGTTTTTTTTTTTCTTTTCCGTTTTCATCGGAGAGACGCAAATGCAAAAAAAAAAAAAAACAATATCTGAAGTAAATTCGTACAAATACGTTGATATTCTTTTGGTTACTCTAACAACGAGTAATATTTTTATTGGCATGCACAATTTCCTATTCGTTTCTCGTTAGTCGTTTACTATGTCCTCTTTTAAATGGTATATGGCTTTTGTTTAAAGAAACGATATTTACTCCGATCGTACGGTACATCTTGAACAACCCTGTACACAGTTTCCGTACATATTCTTACTATTATTATATTCGTATTTACAAAACGTTGCTCGCTAAATGTTAATATTCGATATCGCAATTGTTACTACATTCTAGCTTTATTCCTGAGTGACCGTTCATTAAGAGACTTCCTTCTTGTTTCTTTTACTTTGTCGGATAGTTTGTTTCACGCTAAACCGCTGCGATAAGAAACCGAAGTTATATGTATAGCGAGATGACAAATTGTTTAAGACCACGTTTAGTAATAGTTATACGCGCGGACCAAGCCTATTAATGATAAGCCATCCAGAATTCAACGTTTCAGATAGAATTACATGATTTCCTGTCTGGTTTTTCTCGGAGATCGTTATTTTCACAGATATTACCACGGTCAAACGTACTCAGCTCGTAGTACAAAGAACAATAATAAACAAGTGCGCGTTAATGTCAATTTTTGCAAGTTTCGACAAGTACGGCATCTTTTAAGTGTTTATACGAAATCTTTATCAATTACTTTTCAAATTCTACACTTTCTATTCTCTGTCTTGGAACATAGAAAATTATCAATGATCTTTTAATTCTAAGCGATTCGTTTAACGTGCCCTTCAATAGATACTGTGAAAAAACTATGACATATGAAAATTTATTATATTTTCTTCATATTATACTACTCGAAGAAGTTCCTTGAAACTGTAAGCCGAATAAGTTTAACGAGTGAATGTTAATTCGACATGACGTAAATTATATTATTAATACGTAAAACAATGTTCACACGAATACGAACAAACGTATTATTAACGTTATTTGAGATATTTACAGGCAATCAATGACTTGATATGAAGTGGCCTAGCGTTATTATACATATAAACTTTCATTTAAATATAATTTGAGATTTTTCTGAATCAGTTTGTGGAACGGAACACTATAATATTTAGGAATCGATAGTATGTAGATGCAGAGGTAGAATATTTATTTATGTATTATGTATTTTGACGAAAAGTTTATCGTGTTAGTAGGATTCTTGCGAAGTAAATATTTTTAATATTATAATGAATTTATTCCTTCGAGCGTCGTTGGTAATCGAGTGGAGGAATACTTGTTGAAAATTCATTAGTTGAATACGAAACGAAAAGTTCAATTCAAACGTGCCATTCATCGACGATTAAATTTCTTTGTCTGCTGTATCTCATGATACACAAGTTAAATACGTAGTTTGAAAGCATTACCTTTTTCTTTACCGATCTAATGGTACGATATTATTTGTACACGAGTTCGTCTTCTAAACTTCTGTCTGTATCAGTTATAAATAAGAGTAATATATAAAATAATATATAAATGTGTAATATATAAAAGTTGATTTTCATGGTCGGAATAATGTTTATATTAAATGTAATACTTACAGTAATTCAATCTATATCATTATACAAATTAGTTCGTTTGGATGTTATGTATCTATCAGGGGTATACATAAGTATTCGAAATTTCGGGTACCCGCACACCCTCAGTATTTATACATTATGTGTGTTTGCACACGATAAACTCGAGAAACACTGGACCGGTTTAAATAAAACTTTCACCGATACATAGTTTATTTTTCTGGTCTGAACATAGCATTATTCAACCATAACTAGGACCGAAATTGTAAGAATCGTAGAATTCCATTTCAGGCAAAACGCAAAACGCTGGTCAAATTATAAGGGGCACGCTAAAGCAATATACGGGAAGTTTGATTTACATTAAATATTGCACAATTTTAGATTCTGAGAATATTAGTGAAAGTTTTATTAGAATCAGTACCGTAGTTGCCGAGACAATAAGGTATAACATCCACGTAGGCAAAGCTACGGGCAAAAGTTAGTAAATTATAAATTAGGTAACATTAATTCGTTCAGGTACTGCAGTACTCTGCAGGCATAATGTCTAGGAACTACTGCAGAGTTGCTCTCGAGACTAGAACTTTTCTCTGGATAATCCATTTTTAGTTTTAGATTTTTTATATCCGAGTGTAAAGCAAGAAAATCAATTTTGAAAAAAACTGCACCTACGGTTAACATTAATTGACAGCGATAACATTGTTACACAAGAAAATATTATAACATTTGATCATATGAGATATAAGCTTGATAGGTACTCTCGAGTCGGGCTTCTCGGAAGTTGCTCTTCAGTGGTCACAAGGCATTATAACCATTCGCGCAATTCCAATATCTTCAATCCACGTGTTTTTAGTACGTACTTGACAGTAAGAACCGACAAACTTTTTCCACGCAAGAAACGCAAGGAAGACGATCGTAAATCTCGACGCAACTTCATCGTTTTTGCATTCCTCGACGATCCACAAAATGATCAGAAAAATTCTTGTCGGGACTATCGCAACATCGGGCATAAAGTTATCATGCATCGTAATTAATTAGGCAATCGGGAGGTTTCGTAAGGTACAATCGAATATAATATAACGAGAATGGACTTGTCTATACAACAATATCGTGTGATTGTTGATTAACAAACCGTTTCTGCAAATGTGAGACATTTACCATTACTGTACACAGGTTTTTCTCGCTTTCAACACCAATAAACATTTGAATAAAATCAATATCGTGCAAACAATCACGAGGTGACTTATACCACAACGATAATTCGATTAATCGTATAGATCGCTTA